ACTGCCTCAGAAGAACAGGGGACCAAGGAAACTCCAGAGAGTATTTCACACACTACAATTACATTGATATTTAAGAGACTATAAAAACCTTCTTTACTTTCTAGATTGTAGTAACTCTGCATTAGTTCACACTAAGTAAGAAAGAACAACTTTATACTAGTCTCTACAAATAAGCAATTTCATAAGTGTTCAAAGTGTGGAAATTATGCGGGCTACATTAAATGAACAAATATCAACAACTGTAATTCTAACTTTAAACTAAAATACTGGCCAGATTAAGAAACAAAAGTGCTCCTAGGCCGGGCGCAGTGGCTCATGCATATAATCCCAGCACTTTGGGAGGCCGAGGCAGGTGGATCACGAAGTCAAGAGATCAAGACGATCCTGGTCAAGATGGTGAAACCCTGTCTCTACTAAAAATAGAAAAATTAGCTGGGCATGGTGGCGCACGCCTATAGTCCCAGCTACTTGGGAGGCTGAGGCAGGAGAATCGCCTGAACCCAGGAGGCGGAGGTTGCGGTGAGCCAAGATTGCGCCATTGCACTCCAGCCTGGGTAACAAGAGAAAAACTCTGTCTCAAAAAAAAAAAAAAAAAAAAAGAAACGAAAGTGCTCCTAAACAGGCAGGATGGGCATGGGTGGGGAGGTGGAGGAATACACTATTTTCAGACTTCTTTTCAAATAGTATTTAGGAAAAAGAAATATTTACTTACTCCATTACAACTAGATTAGATTTCATAACATCTAAAAATGATACAGAAATTCCAAATCTGAAAATACAGTTTCAGGTAAATTCTGCTGTAATTCCAGACATCTGCTCATTAAGATCTACTGAGAATATCAGCAAAGAGGGTATGAAGTGGACATGGTAGATGAAACAGGAAGAGTAGTTATGCTCTAGAAACCTTTAATGGGACCGGGAAATGTTAGTTTGGAGGCCTCCTTCCTGTTAACAGACATAGCCAACCTCCAAGCATCTCAAACTCCCATCTAACCAACATGACGTTGTAGGATGCCTCATAGAGCCAAGCACACAGCATACTAACAACAGTAAGGGCAAACTGTTAACAGACCTTTAAAAAAAATCAGAACTCTGAGAAAAAAAGGGAGGATTCTTCCTAGTCCATTAAAGACAGACCAAATTTCTGAAAGAAAAAATAAGGTACTCAAAGGACAGGAAAAAGCTGGAAAACGACAATGCTAGTACAGACCTAGAATACAGTACAGACAAGAGTGGCTAAAACTTCTGGATACAGGTAAACCAATATTTTTTTTTGCAACAGAACTATACTCCCATGAACACATTACTCAAGTGGGCTAATAAAACCCTTTGCTTAAAGTGCTTGCAGAAGGAACAAAACATCCACGCATGACTGATTTGTAAACAGAGAAGAAATGAATTAGAAAAATAACTGATTTAATACTCTAAGAACTTTTTCTCCAACTAAGGCAAAAAAAAAAAAAAAAAATGGGAAAGAAAATTCCTTTTCCTGCTAGCAAAGGGAAAGCAGAAGTGTAAATAAATGCCTGTAATCCCAGCACTTTGGGAGGCCAAGGAGGGTGGATCACCTGAGGTCAGGAGTTCAAGACCAGCCTGGCTAACTTGGTGAAACCCCCTCTCTACTAAAAATACAAAAAGTAGCCAGGTGTGGTGGCAGGCACCTATAATCCCAGCTACTAGGGAGGCTGAGGCTGGAGAACAGCTTGAACATGGGAGGCGGAGGCTACGGTGAGCCGAGATCACACCACTGCACTCCAGCCTGGGTGACAGAGGTGGGCTCTATCTCAGGAAAAAAAAAAAAAAAAAAAAAAAAAAAAAAAAAAGAAGTGTAAATAAATTTAATCAATAATCCTGAAACTGATGTTTGCTTCATACACTTTCTTCTTCCGCTTCTATCCCTAAGTAGGTTAAAGTAGCAAAATCTTTCCTTTCTTAGGGATACTACTACTATTCTGGTTATTTTCAAAACCTATTATTATAATAAATAAATACTACATGCAAGGCCTTGTGCTAAGTGCTCTATATACATTATCTCTTTCAATCTTCACTGTGATGACTAATGTATTTTCATTTCCATTTTACAAATAAGGAACAATCCTAGGCTTAGGACACACAATTAGCAAACGGTATAAAGTGGAGAGAAAAAGCCAGGTCTGGGGCCGGGCGCGGTGGCTCAAGCCTGTAATCCCAGCACTCTGGGAGGCCGAGGCGGGTGGATCACGAGGTCAAGAGATCGAGACCATCCTGGTCAACATGGTGAAACCCCGCCTCTACTAAAAATACAAAAAATTAGCTGGGCATGGTGGCGCGTGCCTGTAATCCCAGCGACTCAGGAGGCTGGGGCAGGAGAATTGCCTGAACCCGGGAGGCGGAGGTTGCGGTGAGCCGAGATCGAGCCATTGCACTCCAGCCTGGGTAACAAGAGCGAAACTCCGTCCCAAAAAAAAAAAAAAAAAAAAAAAAAAGCCAGGTCTGTCTCCATAGCTTGTGCTAATAAACTGAAGGAGTATTTTCTTAGCTTTCTCTTCTTAAAAGACTGAAGTTCACATGCTATTTGGAATAAATATGCAGAAAAGGGGCACAGGAAGTGGTGTAGAAAGCACTATAATTTATCAAGATAAGAGCACCTGCACTGCTTTTTTAAAACAAGGAAAAAACCTGCAATCATATAAAAAAAACCCCATACCCTGTTATTGTTAAAATGGACAAGTTGGTCAGGCACCAGTTACGGACGGTAGTAAATAAATCACTTTGGTTCAGTGGTGGGGAGGGCATTATGCAACACTTCCCAGCACAGCCCTGGCCAGGATATTTTACGGCCAAGGCACTTGGGCCCCTCCCCCCCAGCTAGACAGCCTGGCTCCTTCACATTCCCCTCAGGAGATAGGGTGGAAGCTCACAGCTCCACTTTGTAAGGCATAGAGGGCAGCTGAAAGTCCTGCTTGGCCTCTCTGGGCAACCACAGGCGCCAATAAATCAGCCACAGGCGATTCTCATTCCCTTCCTGGCTGAAGCAGGAGCAAGACATAATGCAAAAGCGCACTGACTGGACTTGAGAGATAAGTGATCTTATATTCTACTGCAAATGACTACATCACCACAGCCAGGTAATGAGCCTGTTTCTTCAGGCTAGTAACATGAACATAGTACCATCTCCTTTTTGGTAAAGATACAAAGTTCATCTATGAAATCGGCCAGTATGAGACTTGGCCCACTGCAACTACTCAGTAAACAGCGGCCCAACTTGGGCAGAATCCATCTCTACTACATGCAAATAAGACATTCAAGGAAGTCTGGACAAAAAAGGTGTAGCAGGTTATGTGGTCCCTCTCTGCTTTCTTCCCGACCATACCTTGATATTTCACTGATTCCCAGCTCTCAGAACTAATCTATTTCCTGTTCTATCCCATCAGTATTCTGTTCCTTATTAAGAAGCTGATGTCCAATCATGGATTCATGATTCACCCTTAACTAAAATATATCCAGATTGTTAGAGAAGACTTTGATGCCTTAACATAAGGAAGCAACCAAGGCTGTAAATGATCATTATTTTTGCAGAGAATAGCAATGAAATTTTGGGGGAGTGCCGGGGGGGTGTAGGCTTTTAGCTCCAAAAATACACCATAGGCGGCCTACCTCACCTAGAAATACTATCAACTCCACTATTCCAGAGCCATCACATAGTGGCCATGCCTGATTTCTCCATGACCTGAATCAACCCAAGTATAATGATCTCCGGCAGATACACTCTCTGCAGGTGAGTGGGTTAAACTGGCACTGCAGTCTGGCATGGTGGAGAGTGCAATCACCAAAGAGTCTGGAGTCTTGGAGTCTAGCTATCAAGAAATGTAGCTAGCTCCAGCCACATCACGCTCTTCATGCGTGGTGTCTTCTCTGTAAAACGAGAGGAATGAAACAGATTTTATAAGGCACCACCTCTCGGCTCTAAAATTTGAGATTCCAAAGCGTACTTTACCCACTTGACAGAATCTTGTGAGAGAATCAACAGCTCAGCCATAAGGACTTGAGTCTCAAGAGAGAATGCTACATTTAATCCCTTAGGGAGATCCAGGCGCTAACTGTGGAAACATGCTAGGTGCTATCGGGTTCCAGGTACTAGGTTGCCTTATGCGCTGCCTCCGCAACTGATAACACCTGATTACTCCAAATAATGAGTGCTAGAGAAGGCGATGATAACATGGTGCAAGTTTCAAAAAGAAAAACTGGATTTGTTTAAAACGAGATAAACACAATTTGAAGATAAAAAAGAAATCAATTACGAGGGCCAGGGCGGAGTGTCTTCTTGCCCTAAAAACTATGTAATCACAAGCTGGGAGTAGGAACAGTAGCCGCAGCGTCCTCGTAGCATCTGGAAAGTCGCCCATTCGTAAGAGGGGTCGGCACTAGCCGGGAGACGGCGCAGGCCTACTGGGTGTTCCCTGCTGGGGGTCGCACCTGGACCCGTAGCGGGGACGGCTCCGCGCCTTCGCAGCACCCCGTGCGCCACCCAGAATCAGGCCCCGGCGGCTGCTCCGAGGAGCAGCGAAGGGTGGCTCTGGGCACCGTCGGCCCTGCGCTCACTCGCGGGTGCTATTTTCCTCCTGTGCCCTGCCTGACATCTCAATCGGACCAAAAACACCCCTCACCCCAGCTACTTGCATCTGTCCCGCGACCGGTGAAGCTGCAGGCCGCCGCCCTGGGCGGCTCGCGGCGGGAGGGACTGAACCCGGGGCAGCCCACAGGGGCTGGGCAGCGTCGCTTACCCAGACGCCGCCGCGGCGGCAGGCCGACTCCTCCGTGCAGGAGGGGCGGGCTCCCACGCCACGCACGGCAAGCGGTGGCGCTGGCTCACGCACCCCGCGGGCCGCTCTCGCGCGGCTTCCCGCGCCAGCAGCCCGCGATGGCCCCCACGTGATCGCGTGCCTGGTTACAGGGGAATGAAGGGCGCTGGGGCCAGGGTGTGCGTGCGTGCGTGCGTGCGTACGTGCGCGCCCTCCCGCCCGACTGAGTGGCCGGGCGGGGGTCGGCCTGAGCTCTGAGCGCCGCCGCTACAGTTCGCAGTCGTGACTCTGTAGGCGGAAGCGTAGGGACAAGTCTGAGCGTCACAGGCTCCCCACAAACAACCGCGTGACCCGGGGAGTTTCCCCAGGGTGTGCAAAAGCACAGGCACCCCCTCAGTTCTGGGGTGAAGGTGGGGGTGGGGAAGGATGCGCCCGCGTGTTCGCTGGGGAAGGGATGAGGGCGCCGGGCCAGAGAGGGCGAGCCGCGGGAGCCTGGGTGGAGAGGCGGGCTAGGCGAGGTGGGGCTTGGCGGGGGAAGTGAGTAAGGGCCAGAGGCGGACAGGCCCGCGGATGGTGGGGTGAGGGAGCGCGGGGACTGGGCGACCCCGAACCGACGGGACAGGGTGAGGTTGCCGGAGCACCCGAGGTGGACTGCGAGGGACGGCCCAGCTGTTGGGCCCAACAGGGCAGGGGTCTGACATCTGGACGGGGTGGGAAAGCAGCCTCGCATCCTGCCCTGGGGAGTCGGGAGGAGCCCAGTCCCATCCAGCTGTGCAAACAGGAGGAGGAGCAGGAGGTCCCAAGCCTAACCTTGGGAGAGGGGCGAGAGGGGTGGTCAAGCCGCCGTCGCCTCGACGGGCCCCCGCGGTGCGGGTTGCGCCAGCCTCCTAGGAGCCCGACGCAGAAACTTGTTGCAACAAACAGGCGACCGCGGGTGCCCCTAGCAGCCAGCGGCAGAGTGGGTGGGCGGGCGAGAGGGAGGGGAAGGCTGGCGGACGCCGCAGCGAACTGGTGGGCAGACCCGGAGTCGCCGCGTAAGCGGGGCCGGCTCAGTGCGGTGCGGCAGGCGCGGCTGTGCGGCAGCGGAAGTCCTTTGTTGCAGCACAGTCCCTGGCAGAGCCAGAGCCTCTCCGCGCAGCCCAGCCCGAGCGCCGAGCGCCGCGCGCCGCCGCCACTGCAGCTCGCGGCCCCTTCGCCTCCGCCCGCCTTTCCCGCGACTGATTTGCCTTAAACTCCCTAAAATCTCCGCAGCTCTGGTTCCTGCTGCGGCCGGTAAGTATTTGCCAGTTGTGGGGCTATTCGCGCAACTTTGGCCCGGGCCGGAGGGCTACGGGCCGTGGGCCTGGCGGAGTGCGGGGCCAGAGCGGCGCCGACCCGTGCGGGGAGCCGGAGCGCGGCGGACGCGCCGCAAGGATCCGGCGACGGGCGGCTGCCAGGCCGCCTGCTTGCTGCCGGCGCGTCAGGTCCCGGGCTTGCGGCCTCCCCGGGTCGGAGGCGAAGCCCCTACGGAGACTAGTTCCCAAATTAGTTACCTTCTTTTCTTTCTTTCTCTGCCTTTATTTTTTTCAAGGGGGGAGGGGAGGTGTAGACGGGAGGCGGGAGAACGCGGTTGATTGACGTGCCCAGAGCCCGCTTCTCTCAACTTACAGCTGCGGCTCCGCGGCGGGTGGGAGGGGAAGTGTCCCGGAGCCCCAGGCTGCAGACTTGGGCGCGCTCCGAGGGAGGAGGCGTAAGAGCTGTGCACATTCTCGCTACGCTCTTTCCCACCCCCTCTCGCTGGCACACACGCTTTTTGTTCAGCAAAAAGTGGAAGGTCTGAGTTTGGGAATTTTCAGTGGAAAAGATGTTTCCTGAGAAGGAAGTGCTTTCGCTTGCAGTGGTGGGCGCTTACTAGAAGTTCGGTAAATGTTGGATGCAGAACGGGAGTCGTTACTACTAAAGTATGTAGGCAGGTTCTGAGCTCAGCCACCCCACCCAGTCTTCCTTTCTACCTAAGCAACGCGTGTACATGATCTGAAGGGTTGACATGACATTTTCTAAATTGGGCGCGTCAGGAAGAGGTTGATGAAAATCCATGACATTTTCCGGGACATTTGTATGTATGTGATAATATTCTTAAATCGATTATTCAGCGTGGCGGTACGTGCAATTCTTCATTGGTGTTAGTATATTTCCATACGGTATGTATCACAAGAACAGCTTTGACACTCGAACCCAAGGACTAGTCCGAGGCTTTTTGAGGCAACCTAGAATCAATGTCTTGAGCTAAAGCTGGAGGGACTCTGGAGCAGATTTGGTGAAGCATCGTGTAGTTCTCATAACTTACAAAGCAAGTCACAGTCTTCTTTGAAACGGAGAAATTAGACTCTATGAAGTTTTGTCAGTGCAAATAGATATGACCTGGAGAAACGGGGAGAATTGAGTACAAAAAACATGAAGCTTGCATGATGGCTGGCCATCATTTGCTCAGAACCTCAAAACTTTGCTTTTGAATCACTTTCTGGATATCTAATAAAGTCGCAATAAGAACTGGATGACTTTGGGAGCTAGTGAGGGGTTTCCTTCTCTTAAAGAAACAGGAAACTGGGCCGGGCGCGGTGGCTCACACCTGTAATCCCAGCATTTTGGGAGGCTGTGGTGGGCGGATCACCTGAGGTCAGGAGTTCGAGACCAGCCCGGCCAACATTGGGAAACTCCGTCTCTACTAAAAATACAAAAATTAGCTGGGCGTGGTGGTGGGTGCCTGTAATCCCAGCTACTCACAAAGCAGACAGGAGAATCGCTTGAACCCGGGAGGCGAAGGTTGCAGTGAGCCGAGATGGCGCCACTGCACTCCAGCCTGGGTGAGAAGAGAGAGACTCTGTCTCAAAAAAAAAAAAAAAAAAAGAAAAGAAAAAAACAGGAAACTGAAGCATAGTGGAGGTGAAATGCTTTTCCAAAGATTAATAAACAAAGTCTACCATAGGGCCTTCAGTTAACCTCTTACATTCATTTTATGAGCAGGCTTTCTTCATTAATACCACATTTTCATGATATTGAATAACTCAGCGCAGTCTTTCCTGAAGCCTTTCTGTTCTTCCCACTCCTAACATGATGGCCTACTTTTTTGGGGGTTTTGTGGGGAAGGGACTGGTGTATCATTGTCAGAGAAAAGAGAAACCATGTTTAACCAGGGCTTTGGCAGAGCATGAGCACAGTCACAGCCACTTGCTTTTGACCTTGTGCTTTGATTTCAGTTTAACACTGCTAAATTTTGGTACTGTTTACTCACTCTCCTCCTTTGCCAGGCTCTGGGGAAGATACAGTTCATGGACCTTTTTAAGAGTATCTCGTGTTCTTTGCAGCACCATTTCCCTTTCTAATGTGCATGAGAAAAGAAGTACCTGCTTTCAGCCTTGCCCTCTAGCCAGGAAGAGCACTAAGCCTTTGCTATTCATCTTCTGGTACAAAGGGGAGGAAACTATCTGGTATAGAAATACAGAAAAATTCCCATAGATTTTTGTTAAGCTGCAATCTGTTGTCTTCCCAAAAAATTGAGGTATATTTGAGAAACATCTTCTTGAGAGGTCACTTTGGTTTCTATAGAATGTTTTCTGACATTTTCTTCTGTGCTAGTATCTCACACTATTTTCTTATACTCTTAAGTGAACCAAATTAAGGGTTACTCATGTCTATTTTTTCTCCATATGGAAATAATTTATTATAAAATCCTTGCTCTTTGTAAAAATCCAGCCTATACTGAAGTACATAAAATGCAAAAATGAAAGTCATTTTGACTCCCACTCTCCAGAGATAATCACTGTGTACAATCAATTCCTTGTTTAAAACACGAGAAGCAACATTTGATCACAGCCATGCTGCTGTGTGTGCCTCACTCTGCCTGGGGATGGCCTGTGGTGATTCATGGACTCATGTTCTGTGTTCACATTACTAAGGTTGGTAAGAATTGCCAGGTAGAGGAAAGGGGAGTGTTTTGCATTGGGCTAATTTAAAATTATTTGATTAAGTAACAGACCTGAGAGTTTAAATATAACTGGGCTGCTATTTTAGATTTGTCCTTATTAAGTACTGACTGTACGAGGGTGGGCTTGTTTTCATACTTTGTTCATGTTAATGTTGTTGTCTAGCATCTGATGGATTGATTTATAGCATCAAAACAAAACAAAACCCTCACCTTTACAGAGAGTTTCATAATTTAGGAAAGAGTACGTATATTTGCTGTGAAGACCACTGCCAATATATCCCTGTGCTGATAAGGGAAGGGGCTCCCTCTTGATCAGCACCAAAGATTGCATGCTGAACATATGAAAGGAAATTAGAGGAAAGAAAAGTCAATCACTGTTTTCAGATGTGGCATGAGAGAGACTGATATTGGGGAGGGGGCAGCAGAGACTCACTCCTTAGCCGTATGTATTTAAGAAGAATGAACTGCGAAGAAGTTGATGATGATCTAAAAACATAACCCCAAAATAGTACATAGAATGTTAATTACAACATTGGTTATTTGAGGATGTTGGGAACTTGGGTGGTTTTTATACTACTCTTTGAATTTAAAATTGTTTTCAAAATAAAATTTGAAGATTAAAGAATTATCAACTAGATTTTCTTTTGTCTATATGAGATGCATGCAGTCCTAATTAGAGATAACTGAAGAACTCCATTCCCACTTTGAATCTGAAGTATTAGAAGAGGGCATGCTTTGGTGGACAGTGGAAGTCAGCAAATGAATGGGGATTTAGGGAAGGGACACGACATTCTCCCTGCAAGATGGGGCAGTAAGAGAATGATGAGAGCTTTTAGATTTATGAACAAGGGGACTCCGGGAGGCTTAGAATGTTCCAAAGGAGGACTTCAGTTAATAGTCATATTCAGAAGAGTGTTGTCTGGTTTACACAAACTGAAACTTAGGGCTTTGAATCAAGAGTCTCAGCTTCTACTTACAAGATAAGCAATTTCAGGGAAGTCAACCACTGAACCTGTTTCTTCATTTGCAAAATGAGGATAATAAAAATACCTATCTCAGGGTGGTTGTGAGATCAGTTGTATAATGTATGGGAAAATCCTTTGTAACTTTTCAACCCCTATATAAAAGTTGCCGTGATTGAAATAAACAAAAAATTGATAAGCAAAATAAAACTTACCTGTTTAAACATTTATTCATTCAAAAATTTATCAAATATCAACTAAATGTCAGACATTTGGTAATGACTAAGATACTGCCCTAATCTCAAGGAGCTTACAATAAAGCAGGAGCCAAGTAATTGCAATACCTGCCTTAAGTGTGGTAATAAATAGGGCATCCCAGTTTGACTGATGCATTATTGGTACCATATAGTTGTATGTATAGGCTGTTTTGGCAGTACAGAAGAGAGACATCTGCCTCACCCTAAGATCAGAAGAAACTTCCCAAAGAGGCCAGGCACAGTGTCTCTTGCTTATAATCCCAGCACCGTGGGAGGCCTCGGCAGGCGGATTGTTTGGTCTTAGGAGTTTTGAGACCAGTCTGACCAACATGGAGAAACCCTGTCTCTACAAAAAAATACAAAAATTAGCTGGGTGTGGTAGCGCATACCTGTAGTCCCAGCTATTCGGGAGGCTGAGTTGGGAGGAATGCTTGAGCCTGGGAGGCGAAGGTTGCAGTGAGCTGAAATTGCCCCATTATACTCCAGCCTGGGCGACAGAGCCAGACCCTGTCTCGGAAACAAACAAACAAAACTTCCCAGAGTTAGTTGAACATTGGAAAGGTTCTAAGCAAAAGAAGAGCATGTGTGAAATGGCAAGGCTTTTACTGTGTTAGGTTATTTGGGATGGGGGGAATCTTAGATTTAAGGCTTAAGAATGGAGTTAAGTGTCTTAGAATGAATGTACATTTTATGATACTTTTTACTGGTTTCATTTTGCTGAATTTTAATTATGAGTGATGTTTTCAGGATTTTGGTTTGAATTAAACAAAACTGGAGCCACAAAATTGGAAACAATACAATTTTTATAAAAATGTGTAGGATCTGCTCAAAGAAGGAAACTGGGCAATCCCTCCCATCATCATAGAAAGAGCTGCCTCACTAGTTATTCATTCAGTAACATTTACTGAATACTTAATACTCCAGAGAAATGAGAAAGCCAAAGTCCTCACATTAAAGTTGCTCACAATCTCATGGGGGAGACTACTACATAATTACAGTGAGTTCTTACTTAGCGTTTACTCTGTGAGAAATACTACTTCATAATAACTCTAAGAGCTAGAAAGGATTACCATCCTTACTTAGATGAGA